GCTGTCAGCATTAAGTAAAATGACGTACATATAGTACTTACTACAGCATCTGGTACACAGTAAGAACTCAACAAATGCCCCCCAACCTCTCCTACCTTAGGCATGAAAATAGTGTCTATTTGGTCTTTTCAGTATCTGTCCTTTTAGACAGTAATCACCCAATATCATAATGATTTTCTAAGTATTGTAATGGTAGGCTGCATATTTACACATATTTGAGGATACATGTAATGAACTATTTGGATGCAACAAGAATGTTAAGACATAATTTTTACCAATTTAAGAAACACCCACATGGCTCTTTTCCTGTGTTCCTGATATAATTAAGTGGTATTCAGCTGCACAATAAAATCATCTGGAGCTTCAAAAATGCCCAGCGCCTAGGCTGTACCTCATACCAGTTCAATCAGCACCCCCGGGGATAAAGACCAGTAGTTAGACAAAGCTCCCAGTGAGTCATCAAAAATGAGAGCCATTCCTCTCTGGAGCCTCTGGGATAGAATCTAAATGCTCCCACCTGGCACACAAGGTCCTGTACGGCTGGCCTGTGCTAACCTCTCATCACTCCTGGACTCAGCTTAGCAACACAGATCCATGGAGTGAAACCCCCTTCCCCATGAACACAGTGGGATTTATGGCTTAAGAACAAAAAACCGTTTTAAGGACAAAGAACCAGGCAAGACAATTACTTTTTACCCAATTTCTTTCCTGGCCAAATTGGACCCAATCATCTTCATTTAGATCAAAGGACCTCTTCTCGAAGAAACCTTCTCTGGGTCCCCAGTCTCAGGGAAGGAGTCCTGTTCCATAGTCCCAGTGCTCTCTGCAGACCTGTACCTTAGCAAGACTGCTGTAAATTGGAATGATCTGTTTCTGAGTCAGTCTTCCCAGCTAGACCATGAGCTCAAGGGATATGTCACCTTTTATTTATCATTATATTCCTCTCTCTGGCATGGTGCATGCTACATGGTAGATACTCAATATACGGTCAGTGCCAGGCTGAACTGAAAACCTGCAAAATGCATCTGCTCATTTGCAGAGCTTCAAGCAAGTGAATTGCAGGCCAGCACTTCTCAAGCCTAGATGTGCCCACGAATCACCTGGAGATATTAAAATGTAGATTCTCATCTAATTGACTTGGGCAGGGGGAGCCCAGATATTCTGCATTTCTAACAAGCTCCTAGGTGATACTGATGCTGCTTCATTTCGAGTAGCTAGGCGTGTGGCCCTCCAAAACCATGAAACACCTGTAGGGCACTTGCAGGCCAATTTTATTATACTAGAAAAAACCATACTTTTACTTTGCAGAAGTGATAACAACTGAGATGAAAAGAGATGATTTACGCTGCTAACTAGACTAGTCTCATAAAGTCCATCACCTTGGAGTCTAGTATTCTTTTATAAGAGATGTGCAAACAGTTGGCTGGTGAACCAGTTCTGCACACAGCCATTGTCCTCATCACAGGAGGTGAGAACTTCCTTAGCAGCAGCATCTATGTGGAGGACCACTTCTGGCTGTCACAGGACTTTTTCTCAATTCAGAGTTCAAATTCAGTGTGGGGATGAGAAGAGAGATGCCAGTAGGATAGTAGATAGCCACGCTCAGCAAGATAGGGCTTATTCATCCTTCCCTTCCTCCTCAAAGTAAAATAGCTATTGAGCAGGTTCCTAGCGTACTATAGGTGAGAGGCACTAGGGTTGTCCAGGTGGAGAGTGAGAGGCTAGAGAAGAAATTTAGTCAAAAAAGATCCAGAGTTCTAGGTCAGAGACAAAAAGAAGTTCCAATTTGGGGAGTCCAATAGGGCTGCACAGATTTTCAACTGTGACTATTCAAATTCTCAACCCCTCTGCCCACACTCAGATCAAAGATTTAGGAATCAGATTTAAAATGTCAGCTGAAGTCTTCCAGGACTCTTAGTCATCTGTAACTCTGCCCAGCTGTTCCGCAGAGTATTGTCCAAGTCCGTAGGACTGCGGTGGCTCAGCTGAGCTTCCGTAGGCATATAGATCCTAGTGGGATTGTTGGGTTGTAGGGTATGTGCATCATCAGCCTAACTAGATATTGCTCAAATGCTGTTCAAAGTGGAACAATTTACACCTCCATCAGCAGGGTGTGAGTACTTCTGGCTTCACATTCTTGATAACCCATGTGCCTTTCAGATTTAGAGATCTGATGCATTCCTCAGGCATATGCCCGCAGCGAGCATACACACAGATACACACACACACACACACACACACCAGGATTCTAAGGGAAAAACAGAACTTAAATTTATTAAATGAGTAGCCTTTTCTTTAGAACTTACCAGAGAGCAATCAATGGCTACTTTAAAACTTCTGACAGCCAAAAAATAATTGATTAAATTATTTTTAATTATTCAAACAAGAATAACATTAAGGAAAAATATGTGGAAAAGGTACGAAATTGCTTATAGTATTACCCCATTAACATAGTCACTTTTAAAACATGCAATATACACTCATTAACTTGGTAATCACTTGTTGCCTTAACCAAATTGAATGATTTTTAAAAGAAATTCACTATTGGCTCATTTTACATTTATGTATTATTTTCCAAATATGTTTAATCCTGTACTGGTGTTCCAATGGGTCTGAGTTAGACTACAGTTAAATAAAAATGAACAGAACAAACTTCCAGGTCAGACTTGCTTTTATTTTAGAACTTGTCTCTTGCTACATTGTAATTCCTAGGACAGCTCTGGTTGTACAGAAAACTCTTGCTTTTCCATTAATGTTTTGTTTTGTTACAGCAAAATCAAGTACACACAAAGCACTCTAAAACATAGAACAAATGATCAGAGCACAAAATAGCAGTTCATCAAACTAGTCTCATCTCACTTTTTGCTTTCTCAGGAATTCCATTCTTTAGCAATGGAATTCAAAAGAGAGCAAGCATTGGCTACTACGGTGAGTGGATTTCACAGGGCAACCAGTAAGAGATGCAACATTAGGGTCACAGCAGAGCTGAAGACATGGGCATGGGCTTCCAGTTCTGTGAATTAAATAGAAGACATTCCTAGGGCATTCTAATTCTAACTGCATTTTACTCAAGAGTCCAGTTTGAGATATAGATGTGGTGAAAATTATGACAAAAATCTTCAGTAGGCAGATATATGATCAGAATCGTTGCCTGAACTCTAAAGAGCTGTCACAGAAAAGATTCAGTTAACTCTTCAAGGTCAGTTGTCTCAGTTCTCAGGAGAAATTAAATCATCCCCAGTTTCTCAGTTCTGCTCCCTGATGTCTTCGCTCAGAAAAGTCTTTCCCACAGATTTGAAACAGAACAAATTTAGCATATTATTAGCCAACTTGTAAAAAATGAAAAATTCCTGCAACTTACCCCTTTCACCTTTAGTAGATAATTTATTTATACTTTCTGGTTAGAACCACAGGGAATTACACATGCCAATAAAACTACCCTCTTTTCTTCTGTGATCATCCTGTGTCCTCACCATCTGCAAAACATAAAAATATAACTGCTCTTGATGTCACCAGATTTGTTTCAAATGTTATCTCTAGAGCCTATTCCTTTTCATGCACATGTGAAACAAACACACATGGTTTTTGCCATTTTCAACAGTCAAAATTAGAGCCCAATTCGGGGTGATGTGATAATAGATATAAATGAGTAACGTATAAATATAACTAGTATAGATATACAGTATTTCTTCCTGGGAGAACATTGGTATTTTCCTGATTTGAAATTCCATGTTTAGCACATTTAGTGGCTGGTATCACCGAATCGAAGCTAGAAGCAATGCGCAGTAGCCAGGATCAGGGCTCTGCCCAGAATCCCTCTGATCGTTTTTTAAGTATTAACTTCTAGATAACAATCCTTCTGCTCTTAACACTCTTCCCTCCCTCCCTCACCCCACCTCCTCTCCCATGTGAGCTTTTGCTTCTGGCATCAACACCTATCCCTGGAGCAGTGTTAACCACCTGCAGATGGGTACCTGGGGGTGCACAGCCCGCCCTAGGGCAGCCCTTGGCCAATCAATGACCCACCAGCGAGCTAGCAGAGGAAGCCCAACTTCCTTGCCTGGGGGCACGAAGATTTTCAGCAACAGCTCAAGTGCCTGAGTGCTGAAAGCAACCAATGCAACCTGCCCTCTTTGGCACTGTGCCCCAGATAACACCTCGTTTGGCTCCCACTCCTTCCCTGTCTTGCTTTCCTCCATCCTGTCCTGGTTTCCCCTGAGCTCCCCCTCAGTAAGTTACAGGCACATGAACCCTCGCCTCAGGGTCCCCCCAGGGAACCTGGCCAGGACAGGATCTTAGAGACGCTCCCACCTACAGCCTTCAAACACTCTTCCTTACCTACCCACCTCAAAGGAGAAAAATCATGTATGCTTGCCTTGTATATTTTAAAGTTAAGATCAAAATATTTTTTCGTTATGAGTTGAAGTAGTTGAAAACGATGTGATTTGGGATATTGTAAAAAGTGACATGTTAAAAGAAAAGTTCTACATTTCTCTTTTGATTTACCCAACAGAATCTAAATATCACAGTGATTCGATACCCTCATTAGCCATTTAAAATATATGTAAACATGCTCGTGGTTAAAAGTCATACATTTCGTAGTATTCATTCTTTCCTTAAACTTCTATTTCCATTGTACTTCCCCCATGGGATTTCATTCTAACTATAATACTTTTATATGTTTTAAAGTCTTTTATTGTTTGCCTAACCATAATTTCCTGAAGCCAAATAATGTATCTATTTAAATGTATGTTTGTTTGTTTTTTATTTCCTATGATTATAAGCTTCTAGGTGTTAAAGACTTTTTAGATGAATTACCATTAGAATTTATCAAAACAGCATATATTTCAATTGGTAATTCTATCAAAACAAAAGTAATCATTTTTATTGGAAATGCATTTCTTAATGAGATGGGTAGTTTTTCCCCTATTATTTTTACTTATTATTATTTATTTTTAGAGTAAGACAAAGTTTAATATCAATTCTATTAATAGATATTGTCACAGATTTAAGTGCTGATGAATACTGATTACTTCCATTTCCTTATCTGTAAAAAAAAAAAAAAAATACAGTCAAACTCACTGATTTCTAGAGCCATTCCAATTTTCAAATTCTAACCTTCCATGATTCCAAGAAAAAAGCTGCACTGATATTTTCTGAGGAGACTCAGAATGCCTTCATGGAGCAGGGCTAGCCAAATGTCACCAGATTGGGCAGGTGGCAAGAACTCTCTGAGGGAAATGATGCAAGACATCATCTACTTCCAGGTGTATGATATATAGATAGAAAAATGGAGAAAAGAAATTAGGAAAAAGAGAATAAATAAGAAAAGTATCGGTAATGCTCACTTGATAATAATCCTTTTGATTCTACCAATCTTATCATTTCAGCAGCAAACCACTTTAGATATCTCAGAGGACTGATTGAACTGGGGTGTAGAGCAGTTTTCCAAAGCTGTATGCACACTGGAATCACCTGTAGAGCTTCAAAAAAATACGACTGCCTGTGTCTCACCCCCGGAGAATGTGACTTAAATGATGTGGAGTGTGGGCTGCACTATGGAATTGTCAACAAATATCCAGGGCATTATAATATATAAACAAGTTTAGGAACTGCTGATCTACAGGGTTCTTTCCTGTAATTACTTTGTTAACTTATATCCCCTACTATGGACACAGGGCCTTTAAGAAGGTGATTATGGTTAAATAAGGTCATAAGGATGGAGCCCTGACTTAATAAAAGTGGTGCCATTATAAAAAAAGAAACACCAGGACTCTCCACCATGCAGGACACAGCAAGAAGGTGGCTGTCTGCAAGCCAGAAAGAGAGGTCTCACCGGGAACCAAATTGACTGGTACCCTGATCTTGGACTTCCTAGCCTCCAGAACTGTGAGAAAACAAATTACTATTGTTTAAACCACCCAGACTATAGTATTTGTTATGGCAGCCTGAGCTGACTAAGACATCCCCTCTTATACCCACTGGCTCTGTCTCTGATCCACCCCAATTCCTTCCTACAGCATTGGGAAAGCGCACTGCATTAGGAGTTGCCAGACAGGGCCAAGTCCCAGTGAAGCGCCAAACCTCTTTGAGCTTCAGCTTCTCCATCTATACATGAGGGATGTCAATTCCTGTCTCCCACACAGCATTTTGGAGGGAATCCAGGGAGCTCATGAGTATGAAACGACCTTACAAACAGTATAGCTCTGTACATGGGTGAGCAGCATCCGGTACCTGCCACTTCCTCTTACTCGACCAGCCTCCCTTCCAATTCCCCATTTGATTTCTCATTTGAGTCCCTTCCTCAGTTCTTTCAACCTTCCAGTCTCCAGTCACTTGACCTCCCTCAATGCAGTTCCCTGGTTGTCCATCATAATTCTCCTTTAGAATATGTTTGTTGGCAACACATTCTCTCTCTCTTTTTTTAATATGTCTTTATTGATTTCAGAGAGAGAAAGGGGAGGGAGAGAGAGAGAAACATCAATGATGAGAGTCATTGATCGGCTGCCTCCTGCACGCCCCCTACTGGGGATCGAGCCCGAAACCTGGGCATGGGCCCTGACCGGGGATCGAACCACCATCTCCTGGATCCTAGGTCGATGCTCAACCGCTCCAGGCAGGGCAGCAACACATTCTCGAAATTTCCTTTTATCTGAGAATGTCTTCATTTTACCTTAATTCCAGAGGGCTCTTTTAACTGCTTATAAAATTCTGTGTTCATAGTTCTTTTAGCACTAAAAAAAAAATATTATTTCACTACCCTTTAGCTTCCATGGTTTTGAATTATAAATCTACAGTCATTTGAACAGTTGTTCCATTATTTTGTAATAGGTAGTCTTTCTCTAAATGCTTCAATATTTTTCTTTATCTTTTGTTTGCAGCAGTTTATGAGGTGCCTGAGTGGGGTTTCTTAGAGTTTTAAAATCTGTAAAATTATATCTTTTACCAATTTTGTAAATGTTTGGCCATTGTTTCCTCAAATATTTTTTTCTGAATGAATCTACCTTTCTACTTTCCTTCTAGAATGCCAATAAAACAAATGTTAGACTTTTTGATATTGTTCCACAAGTTTCCAAGGCTCTGTTCACTTTTTTTTTTTTAAATATATCTTTATTGATTTCAGAGAGAGGAAAGGAGAGGGAGAGACAGAGATAGAAACATCAATGATGAGAGAGTCATTGATCGGCTGCAGCCCACAACCTGGGCATGTGCCCTGACCAGGAATCGAACCCTGATCGCCTGGATCCTAAGTCGACGCTTAACTGCTGAGCCACGCCCGGCCGGGCATCTGTTCACTTTTTAATATCTCCTCTCTCTTCAGATTATATAATTAGTCTCTTCAAGTTCATGACTCTTTCCTTTGCCATCTTCACTCTGCTACTGAACCCATCCAGTGAATTTTTAAATTTCAGATATTGTACTTTTTTTTACTTCTAAAATTTCCTTTGGTTCTTTATTGTTATCTCTATTTCTCTGCTGAGGATGTTTATCTCTCTGTTCAATTCAAGTTGTTTATTTTTATCTCACAGAGAATGAATAGCTGCTTTAATGCCTTTGATAATTGCAACATCTGAGTCAGCTCGAGGTTGGCATCTGTTGACTGTCTTTTCCTTTGAAAATAGTTCACATCTCCTGGTTCACTGTATGTTGCATAATTTTGGATTCTATCCTGAACATATTGAATATTATGCTGTATACACTTTAAGTCCTATTATAATTCTCTGTAGAATTTAACTTTTTTTTAAAGCAAGCAATCAACCGGGTAGGTTCAGAATGCAGGTGCCGTCTCACTCCTGTGGGCAGTGGTTTCAACCTCAGTTTACTGTCCAAAGCCTTTGCTATCCTGTTTTGGGTCTTTCCCAACCATGTACTCTTAGGGGAGAGCCTGGGATTTGCACAGTTCCCATAGTTAGTATTAGAGGATCTCTTCTCTCTGAGGCTATTCCCACCTGCTGACCAATGGGGCCTCTCTTCCTGGTTCCTTTGGCCAGAAAGACAGGCTTTCTTTCTCATTTTGGCTTCCTGGCCTTTCACTCAGCTCCACACTGTGCCTACCTTCAGAGCAAAGCCATGAGCGGAAAGGGGAAAAAGATGGGAATTTCTTCCACCATGTTAGACAAATAGGGGCCCCTTTTCCTAGATCTTCTGCCCAGAGATATGGGATCACTACAGAGTTTTGCTGGTGCCCATCCTCAGCACAAAGCCCCCAAAGAAAAAAGAAAGCAGGAAACTCATGCCCCTTCACAATGTATCTGATTTTGTCTACTTTTCAGAGTTCTCAGTTAGTTGCTTTTGTGTTTTGTCCATAGTTTTCAGTTGTAATTAATCAGTGGGAGAAATTGGCAGCATGGGCTGGCTCTATTTTAAGACTAAATGGGCCTAGTCTATCTTGACCAGAACCAGATATTTCATCACATTTAAATTTGATTTTCCTTTTCCTTACATTTTATCTTCTCTCCCCTTTCTGTCTATATTTTTCATATTTTCTCTCTCCTCATCTCTCTTATTTTTCACCATTTTGCTGATTTTGTTCTATATATACACTTATATCCACATCTAATATATAATATAGAGCATATGTGTATATATAAAGTATACATACATATATAGTATTTTATATGCAGACTGCATACACACACAGTACTTTATTATATAACTACACCAAAATGTATTTATCATATCTGCTGTTGGGTATTTTTGTTACCAATTTGGGGCTATTACAAATAGTGCTGTTATGAACATTCTAGTATATAAATTTTGGTGAGTATATATTTTTAGGTTGGGTATGTACATTGGAGTATAATTGTTGGGTCACAGGATATGCATATTTTCAGCTTTAGTAGACACACAGCCATAATTATTATAAAATAATTTCCCACATAATTTTGGTACACAGCAAAGACTGTGAGTAGCTCCCCTAAAGCCTACTATAGCTTCCTGTCTCCATCTCCTATTTTCTCGTAGCTGTAGGTCCATCACTATCTCCCCACGCAGCCTGAGAAGCTGCCCTCAGCCACCAGAGATCTCAGAACCACAGCAGTCTGTTCTCTCCAGGTGCCACTGAGCCCGGGGTTCAGCTAGGAGCCTGCATCTCAGGCCAGGAAAGCCCTGGTGGCTAAGGCAGAAGGCAGACTGAGTGTGCAAATGCTGGAGGCTCATTGCGCAGCTCCTCTCCCCCTCCAGGGTGCAGGGCTCTCTTGCTTACTCAGGACCTGTGGCCCTTGACCTTGCTCCTCTTATATCTCTATTCCCTGACCCCCACCGAACATTTATACCTATTCTAGTTCTGCTTTTGTCAACACCACTGACTCCCTGTTTGCCTTTCTGGGGTTTTATCTCCCTTGCACCCTTGCCCCCTTATTTTGGGAACCCCTTGTAGCCCAAATGACCCCTCCGTCCTATCATCACACATCAGTGAGTTCTTATTGCTCATCTCCCGCCAGGGAAAAATCCAAGCAAGCAGAGGTACTCCAGGGTCTTCAATCCCATTGTAGTCAAGGTTACCTCTTTTATCCCATTGTCTATCATTTGCTGGAGCTGTCATTTCTTCCGGATGTGCGTCTTCCTCATCTTTCATAATCAGTTCCCCAGTTGAAAAGAGCATGTATAACTTGTGAATCAAATCAGCAGTGATCCCAGAGCCATTCCCGTGATTGCTCTTTAGCACAAAGACATGCTCCTCCTGGGAACCAGACTCCCCGAACGGCTCGCTGCTCCCTGTCTCTATTTCATACACCTCAGGAATAAAGCTGAAGTGGTGGAGGGAAGAGATGAAAAGCATGTTAGCCAGGTCCTTCACAGGATTAAATGTCAATACAGCCAGATAATACACAGGAAGCAATTTTATGCCTGTGATTGGAATGGTCCAAATGCAGCTTGTGGATGAAATTTGACTGCGGGTGATTTTTTTAATATTCTGAAGGGAAATTAAACATTTGTGGCAGGGGCTGAGGACTCCAAACCAATATTATTTTCATCACTGAATTTTTATTGAGTACTTAATGGTTGTACTTTGCAAAATCAAACTTAAAAGACTTTTCTGCCAATCTTCCTATGAGTTCTGTTTACTAAATGGTAAATGTTTTTCTTTTTCATGTTTTTCTGCTGCTCTAAAATGGTTACATCTAACCTTTGATAATTTAAATTTTCTGTTTGGCAGTACCCATATCAGAGCAGTGTTATAGAATTACTAGTAGGGTATTTTAAGGGCCTGTTTTTTGTGAAGTTTTTTTGTAAAAGCAAAAGAAACGGAAACATGGTTCTTGCTAATATGGGTCATATTTGATCTTCTAAAAACACCAGATCTGTGCTGTCATCACAAACCAGGAGTATTTTACACACACACACACACACACACACACACACACACACATGCATCCTCAAAACTAAAACACCATTCATCTCAAATTATTCTTTTAAGGACCTTTTCCAGCTGCTGTATTACCCAAACTGTGAATTTGTCAACTCACTATACAGTGTCTTCTATGTCAACGTTCTCTGGGTTGGAAGAGGTGATATTAACACACTTGGGTCTCAGATCTGCAGGAGGATAGCTGTTGAAGGCATCTGGAGAGAGAGTGGGCTGGTTAATTTAATTGGGTTTCCATTTCACATTCTGAGTATCACCCAAAGTCAGTTAATCTTATCCTGTGGTTGGATGTGTTTCCAAGAGCGAATTGATTTTCTAAAGGACTCAGCAAAGTGGGCACTCTCTGACATTGCAATATCTCGTTGGCAAAGTCAACGTGATACAGCAAAAATTCTCGTGCTCTCTATGTCACAGGCTCATGATATACTTCAAGGATATCTCTTAATCTCTTTTATAATCTGTTTCTCTCCCTATAAGAGGAGGATTTTTCTAGAAGACACCATTAACTACTGAAATTGCCTGGCCTATTTATCTCAGGGTTGGAAGAAGGCACCATATTTTGCAAGTGATAAGCCTGCAACTAAATATAAATCTTGAGTTCCAAGATTCCTGGTGCTTTATGAGTGCCAGAAAAATCTTCATCCCTGAGGTTCCCTGGTACAATTGCAGGAGCTTCGGACAACCATTCAGTGTGGCCTCTGACCCACTCCTAATCCCCAGCACAGGCCAGGACTTGCTTGCTGGTACAAGCTCTTAGGTATTCCATTGTACCCATGTAAAAAATTACAACACATGGACAGAGGCTGGGGCAGCCACTTTCAAAGCCTCACTGTGAAGACACCCTTAACTCTCCTGCCTGGCTGCACCCAAGCCAGCTGTCTGGGGCACAGGTTCTAGAAGAGATCTGTGCCCATGACTTATAAGAATGCAAGTCAGAACCAAAGGTAATTTATAATGACAAGATAAAATGGAAGTCCTTGGGGCAGTGGATTATTATTTATTACAGCAGTATCTCTTGCTAAGGGTTTAGAAATTGAAGTATAGTTTAATAGACAAGAACACAACCCTGGGGTCAGAATGCATAGAGTTGAGTCTAGAATTTGCCAACTATTAACTGTGAGCTTTTGAGCGATTTATTTAATGTCTCTGAAACTTAGTTTTCAAACTTGTAAAATGGGGATACTGATACTTTTATTTGAGGGCTGTACTAAGTATACAATCAGTTGAAAGAAGTTGGTATATAGTAAATACTCACAGGTTAGGGTTAAAAGACACCTTTTACTCATACGGGGGTTTTCTGACAAAGATCTTGACAGTGTAACAGTAAAGTTCAAGGTCAATAAGATCTGAGATTTTTCTCTGTGGTTTTCTCACTACCTCCTACTCATGTGTTAGACTCCACTGCTCTAGACTGAAATGAGGATCATGTTACTAAGTCACCTGGTGGATTGTACACAGAGACATTAAATGTATTACAAAAGCAATAGAAGGAAGCAGCCCAAGTGGTCATCAGTAGATGAATGGACAAAAAAGCTGTGGTACATTTATACAACGGAATAATACTGGGCTGTAAAAAAGAAGGAAATCTTACCTTTTGCAACAGCATGGATGGACCTAGAGACTATTAAGCTAAATGAAATAAGCCAGTCAGAGAAAGACAAATGCCGTATGATTTCACTTGTATGTGGAATCTAATGAGCAAAGTAAACTAACAAAATAGAAACAGCCTCATAGATACAGAGAACAGACAGCTATCAGAGGGGAGGGGGTTGAGACTAGGTGAAAAAGGGGAAGGGATTAAGAAAAAACAACTCATAGACAGACGACAGTATGATGATTACCAGAGGGAAAGGCAGGTGGGGGAGGTAAAAGAGGGTGAAGGGGGAAGGGTAAAAGATGATGGAAGGAGGCTTGATACAGATGTATTATAGAATTGTACACCTAAACCTATATAATTTTATTAACCAATGTCATCCCAATAAATTCAATTAAAAATAAATAAATAAAATGTAAAGAAAAGCAATAGAAGAAGAGGTTTAATAACTTACGTCTGACTGAATAGACAAATGGCTTGACAAACTTGATGATATAGTTCAAATCTGGCTTGTGGGTTCGGCCAAGCTGGACTAAGTGCTGATCCTGTGGGTGGCTGGTTAATTCTTCTAATTCCTTGTCATTATGCATAGGACCAAATGAAAACACAAATATGGAGTAGCCCTGACACTTGGCTCTCAGAGATACGTTTCTTAAGACTTCCTTATCTAAGGGGTTGGTTTCTCCAGCAGATATAATAAAGATAACTTTGTTTTTCCGCAGGTTGGGGGTTCCTGCAAAGACATTGTCAATTGTCCACTGCAGGGCATGGCCAATAAAAACATTTCCATTGAGCTGTTGAAGGAAATCTTGGAGGTGATGTTTCATTTGGTATATGCTGTTATAAGTAACCAAATCAAATTCCAGGTGGACAGGGCATTCTTCAGTGTTGGGCATATAGCCTGGAGGAGAGTAGCTCAGGACAGCCACTCTGTCTCCTAAGGTGGAAGTTAGTGGATCTGGGGCAATGTGAAAGTAGTCAAGCACTGAGGTTATGAAAGCTTTCACTTCCTTAAACTCATCATTTCCTACTTTTTGGGAAGAATCAATGAGGAAAGCTACATCCATGTAATATTCTTGAAAAGAGGCATCTCCAGGTTTGGCAGTAAGACTTGGTTCTTCTTTTCTGCCATGGTTTTCATGTCCTGCAACAGAGAAACTCAAATCACTCTTTTAATAGAAGATAAACTCAGAAACCTTAGTCAAGAAAGATGAATACACAGCATGGAGTACTGCCTTGCTTCACTCCCATACCCATGGCAGACATCACTGATCAGTTGCAGTACTTGTTCCCAGATTCATTCTCCCAGTAAGTCTTCACACAGTGCATGGAGAGCCATTACCACTCGACAGGTGTTTTCACATGAAAAAAAAAACTTAGTTGCTACAGCATCCCAGATCTTTGTTAAAGGGTTGATCGATCCTCCAGCTATTTTCACATGCAAGAAATATACTGCTATTTTTAGTACCTTCTATATGGTTAAAAAATTTGGAGTACACATTTGCATGAGATCTAGTTATATGTAATGACCTCAAGAGAAAGTAGAGATGTCAAAGTCACATTTATTGATGTCACAAACACATATACCTTTATACACATGTTCAAAATATGCACCATAGTGTGATGTTATGAGAGCAAGTATAAATGCTGACTTTAGAATCCAATCTCTGTGCAAGACATGACATCCTCGAAGAACTTGGCATTCAGTGTGCCAAGCTACAGTTTATTGGTCCATGACAAGAACCTTGCACCATGATATAAGTCAATCATATTACTAAGCACACTGATTAGTTCAGCTGACTATTTTTTTGTAGTGAGTCTTTCTCAATGAAACAATGCCTTGATTTATATTCTAATGCTAACTTTTTATCTTGTTATAGACCAGCACTTCAAGTAGCACTGCTCTAAGGCTAAAGAATCATGAAAACATGTACACAATTATGTGGATGATGGCTGCTTGGTGAGGACACAAGAAATGCCAGTTCAGAAGGAGAGGAAGTAGGTGGCCAATGTTATTTTTTTTTCCTATGAAAGAAGTGTTTGTGAATCTAATCAAGAAATAGATTTCTCACTGGCAAAAATTTATTGTTACCTGTTATTAATGCTTTACATTTAATACTTTATTTAATCCTTACAATAACAATCCTCAAAAATGAATCACTTAACCTGTATTAATTCCATAAAAGCTTAATATTGAAATAGAATGCAAAAACACAAAAACAGAACACCACCATAAGTAATGTTATTAACAGAGAGCAACTGCTCTATTATATGTTTGAAGGCTCAAAGATCTGTGCATTTCTGAGGTAAATGTCACATTATCTTTTTTATCTATTGTTGGATTTGTTTGTTTTCTGACAAATATAAATTGTAGGTGTACAATGTGGTGTTCTCTTGTCAGTATATCTTGTATAATGCTTACCACAATCAAACTAATATTGTTGGATTTGATTTGCTAGGATTTTGTTTAGAATTTTTGAATCTGTACTCATGAGGAATGTTGGTATGTATTCTCCTTTTCAAGTAATGTCTTTGTTTTATCTTGGTGTCATGGTAATCTGGCCTCAAAGAATTAGTTGAGAAGTATGCCTACCTCTTTAATTTTTTGTAAAAGTTTGTATGGAATTGGTATTATTTCTTCCTTAAAACTTTTGTTGACTTCAGTGAAATATCTTGACTTGGAGTTTACTTAATGGAAAAGTTTGAACTACAAATTCAATTTCTTTTATGTTTAGAGCTATTTAGATTACTCATTCTTGAGTGAGATTTGGTAATTTATGCATTACAAGATATTTATCTAGTTTAACTTAAGATATCTAATTCATAGGCAAAAATGTTTATAACATTTCCTGATTATCATTTTAATATCTATAGGGTATATCTCCTCTCTCATTCCTGATATTGGTAGTGTCTTCTGTTTTTTCCTGGTGAATTTGACTATACGTTTATCAATTTTTTTGATATCCTCAAAGAAACAGCTTTGCTTTTATTTATTGTTCTCTTTTCTATTTCAAAGAGTTCAATTTTAATTTTATTACTTTCTTTCTTCTGTTTACATTGGGTTTATCTTGTTCTTCTTTTCAGGTTTCTTAAGGTGGAAGTTGAGGTCACTGATTTGAAACCTTTCTTCTTTATCAATATGGGCATTTAATGCTATAAATGTCATCCTAAGTACTGATATGGTGGAATCTCACAAATTCTGGTATATCGTGATTTACTTTCATTCATTTCAAAATATTTTCTATTTTTATTTCTTCTTTGATTATGGATTATTTAGAAGTGTTTATTTAGTTTCCAAATACTTCAGGATTTCTCAAAGATCTTTCTGCTATTGATTTTTAATTTAATTCTGTTTTGGTCAGAGACATACTTTGTATGAATCAAATACTTTAACATTTTGAGAATTGTTTTATGGCCCCCAATATGGTCTATCTTTGTAAATGTTTCACGTGTACTTGAAAAGAATGTGTATTCTGTCTTGTTGTAGGGTGCTCTATAAATGTCCATTAGATCAAGTTAGTTTGTAGTGCTCTTCAAGTCTACTACATTTCTGCTGATTTTCTTTTACTTTTTCTGCCAATTAGTGAGAGAAAGTATTGAAATTCATTGATGCTCTTTTCTTTTTTTTAAATCTTCACCCAAAGATATGTTTTTCATTGATTCTAGAGGAAGGAGGGAGGGGCGAGAGAGAGAGAGAGAGAGAGAGGTGTGGAAAGAAACATTGATAGGTTGCCTCCCATACAAGCCCTGACAGAGGATCAAACCCACCCCCTTTAGTTGTACAGAACGACATTCCAACCAACTGAGTCACGCTGGCCAAGGCAATGCTTTTTTCATTTTTCTTTTTAAATCTTTGTCCTCCTTGAGTTTTATTTTGGAGAATTTCTATTGCTACATCTTCCAGTTCACTAATTTCTTCTTTTACCAAATATGATTTGTCATTAATCCCCTTTAGTGTATTGTTCCTCCTTGACATTGCAGTTTTCTTCTCTAATAATTCTATTGAATCATTTTATCTTCCATGTATCTGTTTAACTTTTTAACATAGGGATAGAGTTATATTGATTTAATATCTTTGCTAATTCTAACATTAATGTCCGTTCTGGTTTGATTTTGAGTGATTATGCTCTTGATTATGGACCAGGTCTTTCTGCTTCTTTTTATGCCAGACATTGTGAAATTATACTTGTTACATGTGGAATACTTTTGTATTCCAATAAATATTTATGTGCTTTGTTTTGGGAGGCAGTCAAGTTACATGGAAACAATTTGATCCTTTGGATCTTGCTGTTATGATTTGTTAGGCGAATCTGTATGGTGCTAAATTTAAGGTTAATTATTCACTTTCAAGGCAAGACCTTCCCAAGTTTTCTCCCCAATGGTCTCTGAATCATGAGTTTTCCAGTCTTGCTGGTGAGAAAAGGCACTGCCCTGTGTAAGCAACTGGCACTATTCCCTAATCCATTTCAGATGGTTCTTCCCCCAAGCTCAGGCATCTCCTCACATGTATGTGCTATCAGTACTCTGCTGAATAATCAAGGGGGCCCTCTGCAGATCTTTGGATTTCTCTCTGTGTGCAGCTCTCTCCTCTCTGGTATTCTGTCCTGTGAATTCTTGCCACTTTGGTCTCCCTGGACTCTCAGCTCTGTCTCCTTAACTCATTGGGCTCCACTTGAATTCCGCTTTCCTGCTCCATGGCCTGAAAACTCTCTCATGGCAATAACCTGGAGCAACATAAGGCTCACCTCATTTGTCTCCCATTTTTCAAGGATCACTGTCTTTCATTTCCTGATGTCCAGTGTCTTGAAAACTGTTTGTGTGTGTGTGTGTGTGTGTGTGCCTATTTTTCTTTTGGTTATTACAATTGCGAGGTAAATCCAGCTCTTGTTACTCCATCTTGGGCATTTCTAATAGATAATAACTGACCATCTTGTTTGAGATGCTCCTATGTTCTCTTTCTTCTCTCAAAGAATCAAGACCTGGTCATTCATGTACCATATTTTTCTTTTATCAATACATTTGTAGTAATTGAACAGGATTTTGCATTTCACAAGCATGTTAGAAATTTATGGGCCTCCCATTCCCCCACCAGGAACCTAGTTTCAAATTCTTAGAATTTTTTCTGATTTAAAAAAATATATATGTTTTTATTGATTTTAGAGAGAGAGAGGAAAGGAGAGATAGAGAGATAGAAACAACTCCTCCTGCACACCCTGCACCACGTATCAAACAAGCCCACAACCTGGGCATGTGTCCTGACCAGGAATGAACTGGTGAGCTCCTGGTTCATGGGTCAATTCTCAATCACTGTGCCACACTGGCTAGACCAAATTCTTAATTTTTTATAAAGATGTAGGTCCCCGATTTAATTACTAAATATAAAACTAGATGTGTAGACAAAGCATATATTTTATATTCTTCTTTGTTGGGAATTCTAGATAATTTACTTTAGCCCTAAAACACCACCACGAAATACATTTCTAGAGTTCTTGGCTGCAGTGTATTAGGAACTATGAAGGTTAGTTATATGGACATTTTTGTCATTTTGTAGTTTATGATCCTGGCGTTGACTAATCATTACCTGCTCTGCAAGAGAATCTGTTTTCCAACTATAGCATTGGGCTTCTTTACAAAGGCTGATAAACACACTTAGTTAAAACACAAGGAAAAGTATTTCACAAATGTTCTGGTAGAGAGGAAGGGTTGACTTACCATGTCAGTGAAATACTTTTTCATGCATGCCCATACCAGAAATATTACTGTTTCTTCCCCCAGTTTTCTTTTAATATATGAGGAAAATCTCAATCCCTTTCCAAAGTACCCAGCAGAACTATTTTCTAAAGAAGTATATTTCACCTGCAAAATCTCTAAATATAGGTTCTCTACCTACTTACAAGATCAGCATGAGAATCTAAGAAGCTAAATGTAGATGGTTATTTCTTGAAAATTCTAAAATATAAAGTGTGATTAATTTATGAGTCTAAATTCATCTTATTTAGGGAGATTGAGCCTTCAAAAATACTTTCCTTCAAGAAAACCTGGCAGAGATATGGATGAAATATACCCATAGCTCATAGCAATGCTGAGTATTTTCTGGAAATGTCACCAAGCCAAATTTCCACCTTCAGGCCTATGGAAGAATTT